TCCCCAGCCCCACTGGCAGAATGGTAGGTGCCTCTTATTTGACTCTACCTCTCGGGGCACAGTGACTGGTTGAAGGGAGGGTCAACTGGAATATTTCCCTGAGCTTTTTCAAACAAGACTGGTGGAAGAGCCCCTTCCTCTTCTGGCCTGGGGGACTAATGACAATTATCAGTAACACTCCTGGGTCACACTGACTATGTGTTAGGCACTGTTTTCAGTGCTTTACATAAATGAATTCATATAATCCTCACAACAACCCTGTGAGGCAAGTCCTAACATTAACCGCGTTTTACAGATGAGGAGAGTGAAGTATGGAGAAGTTAAATAACCTGTCCAAAGTCATACTGCCAGAAAGTCCCAGAGTCAGGACCCCAAATCCGCCTGTGTGGCTCAGGGTACTACTGTCCCAGGACTTGAGCTTGGAAGCTGCTAGCAGCCATGCCTGCACGGAATGGAGAAGAAGTAGGTGAGCATTAGGAGAGAATGGAGCTGACCACAGAGAGAAGCTGAACTGAGCAGCAGAAATATTCAGGGGAAGGACAAGCAACTCAAATCACAGATTTGGAGATAAATCAGGAACTGGCATGCTGGCAGAGCTAACACTGCAACCTACATAATCTATTTCCAACTGACCTCAAGACAGGACCAAAAATGGCCCAAGTCGGAATCCCTCTGTAACTGATAACAAGGGACAAAGGTGACCTGTGGGTTTCCCATGGCATCCTCCCAAGAGATGGAGGGTTTGAAGGCTGCAGTGTGCCTCCCACACCCGAGCCCTCTCATACCCCAAGCAGCTGCTCTGGACAGCAGAAGGTAGATCAGAACCCTGGGATTAGAAATCTCAATATCGTAGAGCACGGCAATTTTAAATCCTGAAGTCTCATGATTCACAAATGCCTTAATTCACAAAATCTGAAACTCAAAGAGGTGAACACTCAGCCCTGGCCTCCAGTCTGGATCCTGTCCCAAGGAAGGAACCCCAAAGCCACTCCAGGATTCCAGTCACCAAATTTGAAACTGCCTACCTGGAGGCATCTGAGAGCTCCTGAAACTGGGGCAGTTGACCGCAGCCCCAGGACCCTGGCCTCTTTGGCTGGGCCCCTCCATTCTCAGAGAGGCCCCTCCCCCCACAGCAGCTCTGCCGCTTACTCTCCCAAAAGCCATCTGCCCATCTACATTTCCCTCTTTGCTCCTAGTGCTGCCTCCTACAGTAGGAGCAGCCATGGGGTGGGGTGTGGGGGGGTA